GTTCGGTATCAGCGACCACTGTTTTGGTCGAGCATCAACAAATGACTAAGCTTGTGTGGACTGTGCGCTTAGCATCCTTATTGTTTGCAAATATTTTTCATCCTGTTTGCGCGCTTATCATTGGGACCCACAGAGTGGACTGGGCTGCACCGGGTAATTGTTGCTTGGGCTTTGCGGATGAATCACTGATCACACCCTGTGTTTTAGCAAACAGAGTGTTAGTTACAGTTTCCTAAAGCAATGTATGCTCTAACTTACCTGGTAGGAAAGAACCACGTTCCCCCCTTCCTCAAGCCATGGTCTCTTATACATATTTCTTCCAAAAGTGAGGGGCAGGCCAATCCACAGAGTTGTAGTGGCCCATCAGCACTCAATGTTTTGGTCAGGTGAACAATTCTGACTACATGAGAATCTAAAAATCCCCTCCCCCCCCAAATTCGCAAATTTCTATGATTCTAAGAAAACCCAATCAACACTATTTACTAACTCTAGCCTTCAACTTTGATTGACTAATTTTATCTTGTCTCCTAATTTTAAAAACAACTTGTGTATCTCAACCAATAAACATACGTGGCATGGATAAGAAGCAGTGAATATACAGTCTCTTATAAAATCTGCCACTCTGCCACCCCTTTCTTTTCCTCCAGTGGGCCAAGTGGACTCAGGATTACACCGATGCAAACTCTGGGCTCAAACCATTACTCCCTGCTGTTCTGTGCGTATACTTCTGTAATGATGTTCCCCCCAACCCACGCCAGCTATGGCATCATGCCTCAGTATCTAAGAAAGAAGCATTTTCTCTAGGATGATGCTGGAACCCGTCAATGCCAACTGGTAATACAACAGCATGCTAACTTGTTCTTGCTACTCCTTTGTTATTCTCTACTACTTTTAGAGGGTATGACTAAAGTTACCCTTATACTTAGTTATAGGAAATCGTACAAGAGGGAGTCATAGCAAACAGATTGCTTATATAATTAGGTATCTGTTGAGAATCAAAGGTATATCCAGGTTTATAAGTTTATTTTTCTGCTTTCCATTTTTGTTCACTGAATTCTTGTCTTAAATCTTTCCATCTTAGACCTAACGCAATACATATTCCTGTATAAATGACAATGTTTATTACTTACAGGGACTCTGCCTTTTGCTCGAAAAGCTGCCACTTTTGAAAGGTCATCGTCTTTTACACTAGTTGGCACAACAATGATGGCAGGGTAGGTGTCACAGAACTCATAATTACTGTTTATTTTGGATATTTTCCAACTCTCATTTGGCAAACCCTGTAAGGTGTTGGAGAAAGAAGAAGAGGGGCAAATGCATGACTTTACGCTTTGAAAAAGTACTAAGCATGAAGCATATCCATTTCTTATTTGCAACTAAAATCCATTTATAATTTGTTGTTTATTGTAACTTAAAAGTCAATATATATATTTATTTGGTAAAATCAATTTCCTAGACATTTCTAAAAATCTAAAGAAGCAAAAGAATATCCAAACCATACTAAAACATGAAAATTATACACTAGAATCACATTTCTATATATTTTTTGTCCTATTTTCTATAAATAAGCTCAGTGTTATTTCTGAAAATATACTCAAAAGTCCTTTAGAAACACAGATACTTCTTACAAATGTCTAAAATAAGTAACGTAAAACGTTATACCAAATATAAGGTAGAGACAACATCATGAAACAAACGTAATGAAAATAAGATCTTAGTGGAATAATTTGAAGCTGACAATGCACTGAAGAGTTCCCAGACCCAGGAACACCGGATCAGAATTATGTAGCCACACCACATGCTTCGAATCTAACTGTAGTCGGTGGTTTGGATCCTTACTCATCAATTCTTTACCAGAACATCCAATAAAAACCATCTGGCAAATTTGGTTTTTAAACCCGTCCTTGTCCTTGAGTCCCACTCACCCTCTGGAAACAGGATGAACAAACAATTACAAAGTCTAAGGTTTGGCACAGGGAGAAGAGAGCATCAAGAGAGATGGAGAACTATAAGCTAGCAGTTACACCTGTGCATAACTTGTTTGAAAAAGTTTCTTCTCTGGCCGGGCACGGTGGTTCACGCCTGTAATCCCAGCACTTTGGGAGGCCAAGGCGGGTGGATCACGAGGTCAGGAGATCGAGACCATCCTGGCTAACACGGTGAAACTCCGTCTCTACTAAAAACACAAAAAGTTAGCTGGGCATGGTGGTGGGCGCCTGTAGTCCCAGCTACTTGGGAGGCTGAGGCAGAATAATGGTGTGAACCACGGGAGGCGGAGCTTGCAGTGAGCCAAGATTGCGCCACTGCACTCCAGCCTGGGCGACAGAGCGAGACTCCAGCTCAAAAAAAAAAAAAAAAAAAAAGTTTCTTCTCCACCACATCATTTCTAACCTTTTAGAAGTGAAAAAGATGCTCAACCTATTATTTTCAGTTTGATAAGCGATATACTTTACCTGCCTCTTATATTCAGATACTGGATCATAAACTTTCCAGCCATTAATTGGAAATTTTTCTTTATAGCTGAATGCAAATAGTGCCTGGACACAAAAACCACAAAACACATATGTCATTATTTATTTTTATATCATATACCCAACATTAAAGCTTTTCATTCTAATATGAGCTGAGTGTATTAAGATTCCTATTTTAGTCTGTAAATTTTAAAGCAACGAAGTAGCAGCTTTTCTTGAGCATTACCCAGAGCTGACAAATTTCAAATATTCTAATATTAGTCACCAACGGAGGAAAAAAGAGAGGGGGAAAGAAAAACCTCTGGAAAAAGGAATAATTAAACATAGGACATTTGGACCCCCACAAATGCATGTAGAAAAGGTTTACTTTGGTGTATTTACCTGTCCATTAGAAAGAGGAAATGCATGTTTGTTGAGGTTTTCAAATATCCCTAGTTTACTCTGTTCTTCCTGTTTATAAGCAAGCCGCAAGTTCCTCATATCCTGTTAAACAATTAGCAAAACTCAGTTATTCAACATACATCGGGCACCTATACGCCAGATACCGTGCCATAAATAAGGAAATTAATTTTTTTATTCATCTCTCCTTTTATACTTTATCTTGCTCCAACTAACAAAAGACAATTTAACAAAAATACCTCCAATGATATTTTTAAAAATTAAGTGAGGGAATTGGAACAAAGGGGATATGTGTGGTAAAAATTCATCAGATGGAAACAAGAAGATTCATACCCAAGTCCTGTGCACTTTCTTGCTAAACTTGTGCCACAAAATTAGTTGTACTCTTCAAGCTGCTGAAAGAATCAGTTAAGAATAGGCATGGGCAAAGACTTCATGTCTAAAACACCAAAAGCAACAGCAGCAAAAGCCAAAATTGACAAATGGGATTCTAACTTACAACTAAAGAGCTTCTGCACAGCAAAAGAAACTACCATCAGAGTGAACAGGACAACTACAGAATGGGAGAACATTTTTGCAATCTACTCATTGACAAAGGGCTAATATCCAGAACTACAAAGAACTCAAACAAATTTACAAGAAAAAACAAAAAACCCCATCAAAAGTGGCAAAGGATATGAACAGACATGTTCTCAAAAGAAGACATTCATACAGCCAACAGACACATGAAAAAAGCTCATCATCACTGGCCATTAGGAGAAAGCAAATCAAAACACAATGAGATTACCATCCTCACACCAGTTAGAATGGCGATCATTAAAAAAGTCAGGAAACAACAGGTGCTGGGAGAGGATGTGGAGAAATAGGAGACACTTTTACACTGTTGGTGGGATTGTAACTAGTTCAACCATTATGGAAAAGGCAGTATGGCGATTCTCAAGGATCTAGAACTAGATGTACCATTGACCCAGCCATCCCATTACTGGGTATATACCCAAAGGATTATAAAGGATGCTGCTATAAGACAACATGCACACGTATGTTTATTGCGGCACCTATTCACAATAGCAAAGATTGGAATCAACCCAAATGTCCATCAGTGACAGATTGGATTAAGAAAAAGTGGCACATATACACCACTGGAATACTATGCACCATAAAAAAGGATGGTATTTGTTCCTTTGTAGGGACATGGATGCAGTGAAACCATCATTCTTAGCAAACTATCACAAGAACAGAAACCAAACACCGCATGTCTCTCACTCATAGGTGGGAACTGAACAATGAGATCACTGACTCAGGAAGGGAACATCACACACCGGGCCCTATCTGGGAGGGGAGGGGAGCGGGATTGCACTGGGATTATACCTGATGTAAATGAGAGTTGATGGTGTGCAGCAACAGCAACATGGCACAAGTATACCATATGTAACAAACCTGCACGTTATGCACATGTACCCTACATTAAACGCTATAGTAATAATAAATAAATTACAAAAAAAAAAAAAAAGAATTCATGCCATCCATAAAACAGAAATGTAGCAGACACTCCTCCCCCACATACTCACAGAAAGGACTCCCTATTGGGTACAGACTGTAGCCCTCAGTAACATCCTTACAGCAATACAATGCTGTTTCTCCACACCACAGTTTCTTAAAATGCCCCCCAATGCAAGCTGATGGCCAAAGGCCAAAGCACAAGTCAGCAGGAATAATCCCACCAAGGCCGACTGTGATGGTGTGATTTCTTCCCAGGATGTTTTCAGCAGTGTCCTTGACCTTTCAAAATCTATGCTCTTGTTAGTTAAACACAAAAATCTCACTCTTCTTTAACATTATATGAACTTTGAAGGTAAATATGACCACAAATTTAAAAAATAGCAATTAAAATGAAGTTATTCTTGTGGTATTATTTGTAACAGCAAAAAGAATGGAAATAACCTAAATGTCCATCAATAGGCGGCACTTATAATTAAACTGCAGTACAGTTGATGAAACACTAAAGAGCTGTTAAAAACAAGCAGCAGCTCTGTACGTACTGACGTAATGGAGTGTTGCGATGTATTGTCAAGGGGAAAAAGAAAAGGAGTAGAACAGTGTATAGTTGAGACTATTAAGATTCCTATTTTAGTCTGTAAATTTTAA